GGTCTCATCATAGTCTATACCCTCAATTTGGGTATAACCTTTTGCAACAAGCCTAGCTTTGAAGGTTTGTACCTCTCTATCCGGTCCTCTCTTTCTCTTGTAGATCCACTTACATCCAATGGGTCGTACCCCATTGGGTGGTTCTACAAGATCCCAGACCTGATTAGAGTCAATTGACCCCATTTCAGCATTCATTGCAACATTCTATGATTCTGCATCTTTATCTTGGAGTGCCTCGTTGTAGGTTCTTGGGTCCTATTCTAGGTTTCCTGGAACTGAGCCCTTAGACTCTCCAAGACTCTATCCATCGGTCGGGTAATTGAGAAAACCTCCCACTACGATGAGGTACTGTCTGCACTGGTACACTCTCAGTGTGCCGTGTTGCAGTAATATGTGATGTATCTACTTGCGCACTCGGTGGGGAACTATTGACTTCACCCCTCAACTCCTCTAAGACTAGTCTACTCACAGGCTTGTGATTCATAATATAGTCTTTTTCCAAGATCTAGCGTTCGTTCTAATGATCACCTTCTGATCCTCAGGATTATAAAATAATCCACCTTTCGTTCCCTTGGGATAACCTACAAACACTCGTGCTTCCGAACGTTTCTCCAACTTGCCAGCTTCCTGCACTAACACGTGTGCAGGACTACCCTATACTCGAAACTGTGAGAAACTGGGCTTGCGCCTTTTCCACATCTCATAAGGAGTAGTTTCTACCGACTTTGAAGGAACCATGTTCAGAATATACACAACTGTTTCTAAAGCCAATCCCCAGAACGAATCTGGTAAATTTGAATAACTCATCATCGACTTGACCATTTCCATAAGAGTCCTATTTCTTCGTTCTGCAACCCCGTTCTGCTGGGGCGTGCCGGGTGTAGTCAATTGGGATTCAATCCCAGCTTCTGATAAATATGTCTTTAACTCTCCAAAGATGTATTTTCCACCTCGATCAGATCGAAGCGACTTGATACTTTTACCATGTAGCTTCTCCACAACTGCCCTATACTCCTTGAATTTTTCAAAGCATTCGGACTTGCGGTGCAATAGATAAATGTATCCAAATCTCGAGTAATCATCTATAAAAGAGACAAAGTACTCGAAACCTCCTCTAGCCTGGATCGACATAGGACCACATAAATCAGAATGAATCAATCCTAGCACTTCTTGGCTCCTATACCCCTTTGCCGTAAATGGCCTCTTGGCCATCTTACCTTCTAGGCATGATTCGCAAGTTGGATAGTGCTCTTCCAACAGACCGAGAAGTCCACTGGCCACTAACTTTTGAATCCTCCTTAGATTGATGTGCCCAAGTCTCAGGTTCCATAGATATGCTTGATTCATACTCGAAGATTCCTTCCTCTTATTAGATTTAGTCGTGATATTATTCAATTCAGTTTGTTGCAGTGTGGGAGAGTTCGGTTTGAGAACATATAAATTGCCAACTAATGAACCAGAACAAATAAAATGCTTTCCATAACGAATAACAACCATGTCATCAAACGTAAATGAAAATCCATCTGAAAAAAGTTTAGAAACTGAAACAAGATTCTTTCTAAAACTAGGAACATAAAGGCAATGCCTCAAAACCAAAATACTACTATTACAAGATAAAGTAAAGTCTCCCACTGCAACAGCTGCTACTTTCGTAGCATCGCCCATGTAGACGGTGATCTCTCCCTCCCTAAGCCGCCTGGTTTCCTAGAACCCCTGCAACGAATTGCAGACATGATCAGTGGCTCCAGTATCTACACACCAGGTTCTGGTAAATACAACCGCTAAACATGTTTCTACGACATTAACAAGAGAGTTACCTTTTTTGAGGAGAGGGC